TTAACCAATTAACCTAAAAGTATGTCTTTGGATTGTGGCAGGACACCTGAGCACCCAGCAGAAACCCAGGCAAACAAGGGAAGAACATAAAACCCACACAGATAACCCTCCAGGATCTGAATCCGGAGCCTTAGCGCCGCGAGACAGCAATGCTAACCCCAGTGCCACCGGGGCCGCCTCCTTTTGACCACGTTCATCCAAACGTATGTGTAACAGAGCTCAGGGCAGCGAGCATGTTACAGAAGTGACATCAGCACTTCAAAAAATATATAGTGTTGGATCAGAGGAGCTGGTCCTGTGGAACGTCACTGCTGTCTAGGGAAGGTGTCGTGTCCGTTTGAATCCCGACAGGGCTAGAGAAGAGCTTCACGTGTTGCACTGGTGCCCCGACTCTGATTTTTCAGGCTGACCGTTTGTGTATCCAGGAAGAATCTAGGAAGAAGTCTTTGGTGCAGCTGAGTTTGCTACATTCTAGGGAGTGTGGATCCACACTTCACCAGCGACTATGAATTAATCCTGGGCTAGAACAGCTTTCACATTGTATTACTTGGGAAAGTATCCTCGTGTAGGTTAGGACTCCAAGATTGACAATATAATTTGGCAGCTTTATAGAAATCTTTGGAGCTGTGTAAAAAGGTATTACCACTTTGGGACATACACATCTCTTCCTCGTAATGTCCTCCTTTCACCCAAGGTGTCTTATAGACCCATGTCTACTTGGCATTGGACCAACATGCAATGTGGGTTCCAGTGTGTGGCCTTAGTTAATTTTAATTGGAAAAAAAGGCTAAGAAAAATAGAGACACGCTGAAACGAAATGCACATCTTCTTCCAGGGGTGCTGGATTAGACTTACAGCAGCAGCTGATCTGGTAGCATGGTGTTCTCACAGCAGGGATATTCTCCCCCCAAAGCTGTGTGCTGATTGAGATAACATTGAGCAACCCTTTGGGGATCCCCATGTGAAGCCCATCACTAATGAATTAGGCTGTGCACTGGCTGCAGATCTATTGAACAGAGGGATAGGTTTACCACTGTCTGACAGTGGGAGCTCAGTGCACAAGCTTAGCAAGGCTTTGCCAAAGGAATGTCTGGACGGGTCCTGCTCGTTTGTGAAAGCACTTGTCTTTGCTGTTAGTACGCCAGTATGGGAGAGCCCCTCGTCCATCACATGCAAGTGCTGCACACTGTTTGGACTGGAGTCATCAAGATGTTTTTCCAGTTGCTGTGTTCCTAGTCCATACTCCTCCTTAAGCTAAGCCATGTAATGTGGGATTTGCACCATTCAGAGGTACCAGTTGTTCTGTCATTCGCAGTATTTTACTTACACTGTTTTAAATTGATGGGAATAAGTGTTTTATTGTATTAATTGCACAGGTTATGTCTCTTTGTCTCAGTATTTGAAAACTCATATGACATAAAATTCCAAATAAATCCTGGGTATACAAATGTGGAAGAGTGAAAGTAAAATTTAATTGAATAGGCAAACTAGAATTCTCTCATACCCAAAACAGGGGCCCATTGAAAATGGCTCATTTGCACACTACGTTAGTGGTTCCTGGAGTGCCTCTGTCTCTTCGGCTTTTAATTTCAGCGGGATTCTGAATTACCACAGGAAACTGGCCACTTGAATTGAACTTTTCTTAATATGACCCTTTTGACCTGTTTCTTCACTCTGTAGTCAGTCTCAGAAGTGCACTGCTACAGGTGGATTTCTGCCTGGAACGATTTAATGCTACACATTCATGCCTGGAAATTTAGAAAGTGTTTTGTCGCACCTCAGTTTCCATAAGAGGTTGAGCTGTTGTTCAAATAAGAAAGAGCTCTTTTCTGGTGAGGAACTAATCAGACACAATTTGCACTAACTCTGAATCTAGCACTTTCACAACAAAGCAATCTTTGCTCTGCAGAGGTCCAGTACTTGCAGACCACACCTGAATGAAGATAATTTGTATGGGGTAGGACATGATTGCTTATGCATATGCATAGATTCTCTGTTGTCCCTGGTTTCTCTATCCTTTTCTAAATGCATTTTCAAGAACAGTATGCAATTTTCTGTAAGAAAAGCCGTTTTAGAACTCCATTGAAAAAAAAATAGAATATTTGAGGGTTCATGTCACTGGTTATAGGAACACGGGTCGAGTTCATATCTACTTTTAGATCTAATTTGAAGTCATATCTGTTTTGTTACAGATTAAACCAGCAGAAACAAGAGCTCTATTGTTGTCAAGTGTACATTGATATAGACTATGGAGGGTGTGGTATTCGTAAATATATTTTATGCAGATGTCAAATGAAAGTAAAAAGGACCTTTGGAAGTTTTATTCTAAACCTTATGTTTATCTAAATTATGGTCTTATTTAAGGTACCTGTATTTCGTGAAGATATTCAGAAAGGTCAATAACTTACACAAATATAGTACAGTACTATGCCAGGTCTTTAACTGCAGGAATATGAAATGCGTGAAGAGACTGTCAGCTTTGTTCTGTAGACTTTCCCTAAACCTGAAGTGCAGCATTCAATAGGTCTTCTGTGATTTCCTCGTTTTCAGTATCCCAGAACATAATGAAAATGCACTGTATGTACAGTATATACATACATATATATATATTTATTTCTGCCTGCTTTGGCATGAGACCCAAAGCCTGCAGATGATTCTGTGCTGTCTTAATTTATTTTGACTTGTGGTTTTTCTTCATCAAATGAAAAATGATGAAAATCCCCTGCACCTAGAGTGAGAATATTGGCAATGTTCATTATGTTACATAAGCACAGTAGATTCCAGCCCTAAAGCTTTGAATGGTGCTGCCTCAAAACAAAGTTACCATGCTCATTAGTAATTTGATGTGGAACACCGCCTATCCATTTTCTGGATGGGATTCCAGTCCACTGCAGTGTGCAAACACACACTCAGAGCAGGAATTTGCCCAGAAGCCACTTCACCTACCACCTGTCCTTGGACTGTGGGAGGAAACCAGAGCATCTGGAGGAAGCCCACACAAACATGGGGAGAACATACAAACTCCATGCAGATACCGTAACACTCCAGGTCCATAATTCAACCCAGGTCCCCAGGGCTTAAGTAGAAGAAACTGTAAACACATTTTGGCATAAGTGTGAACAAATCTCATATGTTGTAGACTTGGGAATAAGGTGGGATAGTTCAGATCATCTGTCTTTTTAATGAAGTAAATGAAGTGAAAAAAATGAAGTGTTTTGTCACATTTCTTTAAAAAAATAATTGTGCCTTGTCAGGGTTCCTGGGAGAACATCCTCTTGGTGCGTCATTAATGATCGTCCCCACTGCTTCTTGTCTTTAGCAGTCTCCTCAGAATCTGTTTGTAAGGATGTTTTCCAGAGCTGGTTTAGAATTCAGTAGTGAACTGTGCAACAGAGTACAATGGGATGTGTAAGGAAATTCGGGAACAAACGCTGATGATAGCTAACCTGCCCTTCTGACAGTCCAACTCCGAGCCCTGTTTTTTCCTCTTCTCATTTCTCTTACACACTTCCTCTTTTTATCCTCTATTTACTGGGCTTTTGCTGGTACAGCTCAGCCACATGGATCTGGGTGTATCTGGCGGCATGTTGGGCCAAGGTTCAGCTATGTGGCTCATTGTTTTCCGCAGGGTGACAGGATGTTTGTAGGAGATGGCTGATAGGCTGCACAAAGAAGGAGGGCCCAAGCAGCGAGCCCCGCTCCCTGCAGCGAATGTGTAGGCCAGCGGCAGGGCTGTCCCCGGCTCTAGGTGGGGCCGACGCTGACTGGAATTTCCTGGATTAGGAGAAGGGATTTACTGCAGCTCTGTGCGCTTTCAAATATTCTCTCTGGCTTTTGGCACACTGAAAATGTTAAGAAGCACAGGCATGTGGATAATAAGAACCTCTTGACATTGTTGGTTTCACAATTTCTTACATTTTTGGAGTTTTATTGATTTTTGTAAATGCACAGGAGGGTGAAGTTACCCCAGTATCAGTCTAGCCAGTAAATGCCATGCATGCTTGTCGAATTGAGTCTCCTCATCGTCTACCTAATCCCCCTGTTTTCTCAGCCTTGTGTTTCAGCTAAGCGCGTCTGCAAAAAAATAATGTTCTCATTTGTGCCTTGGATAAAAGAATCAGCAGTCTGTGAATCAATAATAAGATAAGATACAGTCCATTTTCTAGACTGAGAACATTTGTTGTTCCCATCTAAACCCCTTTCTCATTTAACATCACGTTCTCATATCAAAACCCATTTTCTCTAAAACGTATTACAGAAAAGGTCTGAATTTTGACACTGTGCCCTGTGCAATATTTTATTCTTATGTGATATGGAGGAAAGGTGCTTTGAAGCAGTAGGTTATCAGACTGGAATCTCTATAAGCCACTGCTCTATATTGAAATGCCTAGCATGTTTGGAGCTGCAGGAGTTTGAGATAACCCTTTATTTAACATAGCTGAGAGACCAAAAAGCTAAGTTAGCAGCTTCTTGCAGACTTGTATTTAGATGGAGTTGAGGCCACACCTCAGCTGTATCAGCTCTTGGATGTTTGTAACTTGTCTGTCTGCTCTGGTTCTACATACTATGTATGCTTTTATACTAGCTGAAATGGGATCCTGGCCTAAGAGTCAATAGAAGGCTATAGAGTTTTGGGATTTTTGCTTAGGGATCTTACTTAAGAAATTCACTACTTCGATACCCTGGAGTTATAAATCAAGTTTACTGTTAAGAGTATGTTTGAAAATACATTTCCAGAGTGTAGTATTTTATTTTACAGCTGTGAGAGATTCTGGCATAATATAACTGTATAGTTGCAATCTTTAATCTAGAGAGACATTTTATGTTAGAGTGCCTCAGTTTCTCATAGTTCTAGTAATGAATTGTATAGATCTGATTGGATAACGTCATCTCTTTCCTTGTGCAGGCATGTTGTGAAACAAATTCAGTTCAATGCATCTATGAGAAACTAGCTTTGCCATCTTGAATAACTGTGACCGTTGTGTCTGCCCTGCTTGCAGACAGCAAGGCCATCGTGGACGGGAACCTAAAGCTGATCCTGGGCATGGTGTGGACCCTCATCCTGCACTACTCCATCTCCATGCCCGTGTGGGAGGATGAGGGCGATGAAGATGCCAAGAAGCAGACACCCAAGCAGAGGCTGCTGGGATGGATCCAGAACAAGATTCCTGACCTGCCCATCACCAACTTCAGCAACAACTGGCAGGATGGGCGGGCACTGGGGGCGCTGGTTGACAGTTGTGCCCCAGGTAGGTCTTCTCCCACCATCACTAGGCATCTTGCCAAGCCCAGAAGTCATAAGACCCCTGTAGGGACGTGCTGTGGAGCAGAGACCCCACCACCTCAGAGTCTAACCATGACGCTAGCTGACTGACTAGCAGTAGAGAGACACGTGACACAAAAACACGTGACTGATTTCCAACACAGACACACAGTATGAACTATGTGCTCCTCTTTTTCTGTTGGCCTTTTGTGTTGTCTGTCTAGCCTTTGTTCTTTATATTTGCTTGAGTGTTTCTTAATGCATTATGTGTAGGACTGTTCAGAAATTTCTGCCTTTCTTCTGGCCTGAGCTCATGCACTGGTGTTTAATGAGGCAGAGAGCCGATCAGTAGCTGTTTGGTCTTGGCATTGCAGGCCTGTGCCCAGACTGGGAGACCTGGGACACAGTGAAGCCGGTGGAAAATGCTCGAGAAGCCATGCAGCAGGCAGATGACTGGCTGGGAATCCCTCAGGTGAGGATGACACAGCACCAGTGCTGTTTCAGCTGATTTCAGTTGAGCTTTTTTCATGCTTTATCTTTTTTTTTTCTCAGTTTAGGATTTGCTGGTTAGTTCTGTTTCTTTATCAAGAAACATTTTTAGTTTAGAATTGCCAGCAGTTAATCCACTTGGGTCAGGCATACCCTGCTGTCAGACTTGTACAGAGAGTTAGCACAGATGAAAGCACGTCTCTCACTGACACAAGTACAAGCTCCGTGTGCCTAGTTCCTAGGAGCCACTCTTCTGTGGCAAATGGGGAACATTTGGCTGAGTCAAACTCCTCCAACCCCATGTCACTTGGTCTGATGTACAGTGCAACTTGGGGAATAAAAGTCATAGCTGCATGTAACAACTCGACTTTTATGTTACAAAGATGATGATTAATAGTAGCTTTACTTCTGTGTTATAAACATCGCTACTTAAAAGCAAATGGTTATACATTTTGAATAGTGCACCCTGCAGGTGATACAGTATGCATTTGTATGTTGGGGTCAGGTTGATTTGGGAATGGAGGTGTGTTGAAGTCAAATTTACTGATCTCTCTGAAAGGTTAAACTGTTCTGCGAAAAGTGGGAAATTCAGAATTGACCACATTCAACTACAGAATGTCTTATGATCTTGGATTTAAGAGGATGTTGTTGGTATACATCTTTCCTTTTACAGATTACATTTACAGACTATTTTACATTTAATTTCCAGTTCTTAGTAAATCAACCCTTACCTGCTTGTTGCAAGTCACTTACATTTTCACTGTTCTGATTGTCGTTCCAAAACAGCTCTGCCCCATGGAGATTCTGAACTTACCTGGCAATATTAAGGAAACAGCTGTTGTATTCTGCGTCATGTGTGGGACGTGGCACAGTGAATGTCTTTCTGATACAGCAGAACAGAAAGCACTCCCCTGAACCACACCTGTGTTTGCAAGGTGTGGTGGCCAAATCCAGGCCTTATCAGGATCCCTGTGAAACTTCCCATTTGGCAAAGGTGTTCCTGACTGCTGTTAAAAGTGTTAAATGCTGACTGATTATCTGAGATCCTGGTTTTCCAGGAGGAAAAAAAATGAAATTCTGTTTGTCTAAATTTCAAATACATTTTTTAAAATTGTTTCCTCTGCCATCATTTGAGACCGATATGTACAATTTAAGCCAGCCCCTCTTTTGACAAAATTAGAAATAAACACATCCCTTTAATACTGTAAATGCGTTAAAAGGGAACTACAACTCTATTTTTATATTTGGGGGGTTAGAAAGAATCAGCATTGATGAGTGCATTTCAAACCACAATAAAAATAAAATGTACCCAGTAACTTGTAAAACCTCCATTTTACATCACAAAATAGGCTAAATTTCCAGGTATTTGCAGCGCCATTTTCCGCAATTCAGATTGAGGCAACAAAACTTCTGGTAACGTGTTGCGGCCTCTATGACATTGTAAAGAAGCAGGCCTGTGAATACATCTCTTTTTGCTTTTTAGCAATTTAGATCTTTTATTTAGATTTAAAAAACCATAGTACAATTTTTCACCTTCTCCTTTGTAGTCGTAGCTCTTCAGAGCTGGAAGTCTGTTCTATGAATTTGCCTGCTTGTCAGCAGCAGACTTGCAATCTAACCTGATAAGGCTTAAAATTGCACATGCCTGGGGAGGGCTAGAGTTTTGATCTTGAAAATGACAGAAACACAGTGTAAAAGTGACAGTGGTTCTCACAAAAAATAAAGCTAATTAAATCCGATATTCAGCAAATAGAGCTAAACTTTTTTTCCTCTCTTATGAAATACTCAAATTTCCCTGTGAGTTTTTGGAAAACCTTGTCTTTCCCAAGGTGAATGGAAATACAGTGTTTTTCCAGAGTTTTTTTTAGGATCTGTGCTCATTGTTCTTTGGGTGTATGTCTGAGTGCCAGGCTCCTCTGTGTGTGCCAGGCAGATCTCAGTTTTAATCCTGGTCGCTTGTAAGGTTCAAGCATGCAAAGCACCACTCCCAAGACAGTGGATAACTGTCCCACCAGGTCCTCTACTGTGACTGAGTTCTACACTCTCTAGTGGATGAAATAGGGTGTTACTTCTGTAACTTGCTCAGCACTCTGAGCCCTTTTTTACAGTATATGTGTACTCTGGTATCTTATGATTAGATTTTGTTAAAGGTATTTTGATGAGCCATCAAGTTGGTGGTCTCCTAACCTCTTTTATTAAAGGGGAAAGCTGCATTGCCTCTCCTGATGATTGTCCTTTCCGCCCTGTGTCTAGGTCATCACTCCAGAAGAGATCATCGATCCCAATGTGGATGAGCACTCAGTAATGACCTACCTGTCACAGTTCCCCAAAGCTAAGCTGAAGCCCGGGGCTCCCCTCAAACCCAAGCTCAATCCGAAGAAAGCTCGGGCCTATGGACCAGGTAGGCAGCCTCTACTTCTCTCCTCACACTGCAAGGACCCTTTGCACAAGTTAAAGAGTTAATAAAAATGAGGGTTGGCTATCATGTGACGCTGTAAGAAACAATTTTAACAGTGTTTTTTTGAGTAGTACAAGAGTTATACAGTACTGCGGCACATATTGTCTTGGAATCAATTAATAGCAAATGCAGAAAACGTAAATTTTCCCTTTTTTCTCTCTTTTTTTGGGATCATTATTTAATTGAGTTGGTGGTTTTCAGAAATTTAGTTTGAAAAAGTAACTCCCCCCTCACCATTGCCCAACAGCTTCTTATGATAGGAGTGCACAAGCTTTCCTTAAGGAGTATCGTAGGTGTCTGATATGTGTAGTAGTGGTCATTGACTTGTGGCAGAGCAAACTAGACCAGCTAGAAAACAAGGCATTTCCTCCTACATTTCATTAGCAGTTTAAACTAATTTTCCATCCAAACTGAGAGTCTGAAATCCCCAATAGTTAAATAATAAATGAGGACATTTTTTGTTCTTTCTCAGACCGCACTCGTTGGTTTTGTCATCAGTGGGGCATTTGCAAGCACAGTAGCCTTATTCTCAAGGTTTTGCACACTCCTAAATATTTAAACTTGTGAAAGAAATAGTAAGCGACCTAGAGGGACTGCATCAAAAAGGAATAAAACCGTGGGTGTTCATATACAGTATGTGAATGAGATGGTGGAAGCAAAGTCAGTAAAAAAAAAAAAGTGATATTTTTTTAACCTTGTAACTGTGGAATCATGGGTGCTGGAATCATGTCATGTAAGTTTGTCTTCAGTCCCATTAATTTTCCTGGCTTATTGTAAATCAGTTTCATTTAACTTCCCAATTTGGAAAATGTCTTCGTGGCCCTGATTTAGATGTATTTTTGTTTCTTTCCGTGTCCGTGTTTGAATATTTATCCTTCAATAAAATATATAGGGAAAACGCTGATGACATAACATCATCACCTAGGGTTTCAGTCTCCTGTTAAAGATGTGTTTGGGTTTTCTGAGTGCTTCACACTTCTCTTAACGGGTCTGAGGCATTCATCACAGTTCCAGCCACTGAATGGGAGCACTGTGTGTGCGCTCATCGACTGACCCTCTGGGAAAAGGCTCCGAGAAACAACACTGCAAAAACATTCATTCATTCTCAGGGCTGTGTAAATAGAGGATTTTTTGTTATTCTTATAAACGCTTTACTGAAGGAATTAGTCAAGATGACTGCCTCGAAGTCCTGATGCTGGTCTAGTTTGCTCTGACATGAGAAATTATTGGCTTGATAAATAATTTTCTAGACACTGGAGAGTATGGGAAAATCAATTAACTAAAGCCTGTTCTTGCCAAGATAAACTTATCGCCCTATTGAAATCTTTCTCTGTTTGATTAATACAAATTTGAGCAATATAAAGAGAAGTCTTGTATTGTTCTTGCTTCAACAGTATAACTCTTAAACGGTTAAGAATTACTTCATGTTCATAGGAAAACTGGAAAACTATAAGACTATTTAGCTGAAAATATATAATTGGGTGTTTGTGGTGGTATTCACTGTGGTAAGATTGGGCTCAAACTGTTTGTTCTCTTAATTTCAGGAAAAAAATCATAATTTATTCCTTTGGTAAAAAAAATGAAAGGGAGTATCATTTGAGAAGAGAGGGTGGCTTGTAGTGGGAACAGTTATTTCTGTTTTTGTTTTGGGGAAACAGTTTTTTTTTTCTTTTCAATGTTCGCATTTAGTGGCTGGCATTGAAAAGCGGTTTTGAAAAGACAGTCAAGGGTGAGCAATCTGTGGGACCCCCTGAAACGACTTAGAACAATTGGTGGAAATACCTGTTCGTTAGTTTCAACAATAGATCGTAACCGACAAGTCCGATAAGCAATCTTTAATTATGGCCTGACCTGGACTTGGCAAATACAAAGCATTCAATGCATTTTTCCAACGGTTCTTTGACAACATTGCATCATGAAACAGGATTGATCCTGTAAGCCATCCTTATTTAATATTGTCAAACTTTAGGGTAGCTGCAGTAGACTGGTAGGTATAATGACTTTCTGTGTACATCCAACTTGCACATGTGTTTTTGTGCTTGTTCTTTCTATTGTGTTTGCTCCAGCTGTTTGGGACATGTTCCGTAAATATAATTTCACTGTCTCATTAAACAGAATCAAGGCTTTCTTTTTAGAAGACTTTAATGCAGGTTTGGCAGGTTGTTGGTATCAAAAAAGGTTGGATTTATCCGCCTTGTGGATATTTTGGATTTAAACTGTTACATGATTTTCATCAGTTTAGTCTGCTGGCCAGGGGGTAGGGATGGTGATTCCAGTTTCTCATGGCAGAAATGTTGCCCATTAGGGAAAGGTGTAAATGAACAAGGTAACCAATCCAATAGGAGATATGCTCCAAGGATTTGTAAAAAAGACATACTTTAAAGAGGACTGAGCTTTATTTCCACAGTGGAGTCACTGAAACTCGTGTAATTAAGGGAGTCTGCATCTCCGAATGTTTCTTTTGTCACTGGCCTCGTAAGCGTCTTCTGACGCTTCTGACTTCATTAGTGTTGGAGACAGGAACTCTACGGCCCGTGCGCTTTGATACGGATTGGGTTGCAGCTCTGTGATGCGGGTGGTGTTTGTGTTCGTCTGCTGTTCAGGGATCGAACCTGTTGGGAACAGAGCCATGCGGCCAGCAGTGTTCACTGTGGACACCTTCAGTGCGGGTCAGGGTCAGGTGACCATCTACATTGAGGACCCTGCTGGAACCAGAGAGGAGGTGAGTTCGTCACGCCCGGAACCCCTGCGGCAAAAGACAGCCCAACACAACCCTGATTTTTAGAAAACACGGCTGATAAAGGGAGTCTGCGACATCAGCCCCCTCCTTTACTTTTGGTCAAAAAAACTAATGTGCAGATACTTGCGTCTTCTTCAGTGCTGTCTTATCTGAAAAATGTGCCTGGATATTTCAGCAGCTCTCAGTGAGTCAAAAAAAATCAAATGATTTGTAATCTGCACGCTTTCAATGTTGGCTAATTTTCTTTCTCAAAGAACAGCTGACACGTATTTATGAGCTGCGAGGTGTCTTTTCAGACATTTCTTGTGGGATGGGGAAAAGGGCAAACTAAGCTGAACAAAGTCAACAGTGAAACATGCAGCATGGGCAGAATAAAATATGCTGAAATGCAAGGAAAAATCCTGTGACATAATCTCTCTTGAGCTGCTTGTGTTCAGTGCATGTAAGTTGAAGCAAGCAGGAGGCCATCTGCAGATGGCTTTTTCTTTTGTGTTGCCGTATCTTTTGTAAACATCTGCTCAGATTTCCAGATGGATTTCTCACTTCTGCTTGACTTAAAAGAAAGGTGTTACAGTTTAGCAGTTTAGAGGAAACGTGCTCTAGAATTGTCTAGGTCCCAGGGCTATATGCCATAGGTATTTTCTGTTTATCTTTATTAATGGGGCGGAGTGGTGGCTCTGTGGCTAAGGATCTGTGCCTGTGACTGGAAGGTTGCCGGTTCAAATCCTGCAGCTGGCAGAGGAATCCTACTCCGTTGGGCCCCTGAGCAAGGCCCTTAACCCTAACTGATGTTCCAGGGGCTCTGTACAATGGCTGACCCTGCGCTCTGACCCCAGGCTCTCTCCCTATCTGTGTGTCTCATGGAGAGCAAGCTGGGGTATGCGAAAAGATGAATTCCTAATGCAAGAAATTGTATAGGGCTAATAAAGTGATGTTATGTTATGTTAATGATGTGAACAGAATCTTCAACAGAGTCTGTTGCACTGATAGACTGTGAATGAACACTTACGATATTTATTGTTTAGATAATGTCTAACATGAATCTGATGCTAAGTGACTACAGAATAGTTACTCTTCAGTCCCAAAAAGACATATTTTATATATTTTTTTAGAAGCATAACTTTATTTAGCATTTTATTACACGTAATCTGTAAATTGTCCGTTTTGCATATCGTCTTTTTAACTATACTGAGTTGTGTATGTATGGTGGTAGTGTGGATGAAATTTGCTGTCTTCTCCTTACCAGGTAAAAGCTGTCCCTAACGAAGACAAGAGCAAAACCTACAGTGTGACCTATGTGCCGAAGGTGGTGGGGCCTCACAAGGTACACTTCTCCATCCACTGCCACCCCACAGACTAGATCAGTGCTCTGCTCTATACTACGTCCCTGAGAGGGAAAGTTCGGGGTGGATAACAACAACCAAGTTCAACCAGCCTCAGCTGTCAGAAATTTGTAATCATCTTGAATGATTACAGAGGCTTCTCACCTTAGCCATTATAAAAATTGTATGTAATCCCATTGTGTCCCTTGCATACATCTTTAGCATTCTACTTCCAGCCCATCTCCACCTCTGCAGCTGCCCCTTGGTCACTCCTCACTCTGCATGAGGCTTAAGGCCAGGAGGACTGGCCTTCAGCCATTAGGGTTAAGCTAAATTTGCTGTGACTAAAACACTCCATCAACCTTTCAATATGCTTAATTCTTGGGTGTTGTTATTCCTAGTGAACAGTTAATTGGTTAATAAGGGCAGTACTTTAAGAACAGATGTTTGGTGTTGGTGCTTAATAACTAAATTAATGACTTACTGTACAGTACTGTTGACTTTTGTCATTTGGTTTTGGAGAATCTTTTAGAAAATAGCCCCAAATAATCAAACTACTGCAGGTTTAGTAACGTCTGTTTCTTTGAAGAAGTTTGGTTTGATCATTTTACAAAGATTCCTTTGATCCAGATTAATGTAAAATCCTGTCATCTATGTAAGAGTCCTTTGTAAACCTTGTACCATTGTAGACCGTGGTATGCAAAGGTCTCTGTAGAGCAGTGACATCCTGTTAAAAACATTAGTGGTAAAGTGGTGATAAGCATTATTAAAGCATGTGTTAGGTGTATAATTTATACTATTTGTGCTTTCAAAAAAAGATGAACTAGCAATGTTGTGTGAATCCAAAACTTCCATGTGGAAATCAATCAGTCAGTCATAGATATTATCTCTTCTTTGATTTTATTCACCTCCTTTATCAAAACGTGCTGCGCAAGCTGTTTGATAAACTCAGTTATAGTTAGCATGTTTGCGAGCAGGTTGGTCCAGAAGTATGCTCTGGCACCTTGCTTCAGGTCCAGTGCACTGTGATTGAACCGACCTACCTTTTGTTCTTCTCCTGCCCAGGTTACTGTGCTGTTTGCTGGGCAGCACATTTCCAAGAGCCCCTTCGAAGTGAATGTTGAAAAAGCCCAGGGAGATCCCAGCAAAGTCACAGCCAAAGGGCCGGGCCTAGAGCCTTTAGGGAACATCGCCAACAAACCCACATACTTTGACATCTACACTGCAGGTGGGTGCACTGAGCTTCATTTTTAGACTTCATGTCCTCCTCTGCTTTTCTCTGGAGTCATCCCTTTGCATCTGAAGAAGGTTCTGATTGTCTGGATTTCATGTTAGTGGGGTGTTGAACATTTTCAACTCTCTGTGTCCCCCTGAGTACATGCAGACATACCATGCTGTTAGTAAGCGACTCGATCTCTCCTCCAGTCTGTTCTGAAGCTTGGGTACAGGACTTTGTTGTCTGTGATGTGTGAAAAGAGGAGGGATTCAAAGGTGGGCAAGTTGGAGGAGTCTACAAACTTCTTCGTTCTCCAACGTGGGTTCACAACCTCAAGCCTAGGCATGTGAAAGGCCCAGTTGCGTATTACACATCGATTCGGTACTGTGAAAACAAAATGCCCTGTTCTAAATATGAGAAAAAATAAGTAAATAAATAAAACAGTGGTAACAACAAAATCACAAAATCAAGAAGCTGTCAGTTCTGCAGTTGAAGAAATTCAGCTTTATACATATTGGTTTGCTTTCCCGTCTTTCTGTTTTGCTCATGTTGGGGGATGTTTGAGTTGCAGGAGACAGAGTAGGTTTGGGAGTGAAAATGGTAGTTTCTGATCCAGTGCCATGAGATTGAGAGTCCTGAGCAATGCCACACATGCCCCCTCCCATGGGCTCAATGTGCTTTCTCTAGGTGTCCAATATTACTTTTAAATCAATTAAAAGAGCATTCCAAAACTAGCAGAAGCAATTACCTTTTATAAAAGCGATAGAGGGAATTGTTTTTATTTTAACATTTTACAATACATTAGCCATTAGCCTTTTAGAAGAGTAGTTGATCATTGTATTTTTACTAGTTTCTCTTTTGTCTGTTATTAATAGTTATAGGTTCTGATTATGTTTCTGCAGTGCTAAGCAACTGTTTCAGGCCGTTTTGACTGTGGCAGGTATGAGTGAGGGAGTGAATTACATTACCCTGCGCTTTTGTCAAATACTGAAGGCTATCTAACATTAAAGGAGTTCCTCACCTTGTGTTTTTGCACTCAGCATTAAATCTTTCCTATTGACATTTTTGATGCAGCAGTTAATTAGGTTGTCAGATGAAAAGCAAGTTGGAAGCTACTCAGGTTTCCTTGTGGCACATTCGCAGAGTAGTGTTTCGATTTTGCCTCGCTGATGTAGAGTATTAACTCTTAATTGTGCTTAGAGGATGCCTCCTTGTTTGCTTTACCTGTGATATCCAATTCTTCAATGCTTTTGCTATAGTATGATGTTGATATACGTCATTCTTTTAACCAGTGAGGCCCTAAATAACGAACAGAGAACTGGGCAGAAAGCTAAGGGTAGGAACAGACAAGGAATTGATACATGGGAAAACATGATGGAGTAAAGTAGAAAGAATTTGTACAGCAGTACATTAATTCCCGGAGAGCTTAAAGTATATACAGAAACAGGGCGTCCCAAGCACAGCGGCCTTGCTCAGCCTTTCTGGTCGTTTCCTGCACAGGGGCTGGCGTGGGGGACGTCTCGGCAGCAATCCGGGACCCCCAGGGCAACAGGGACTCGGTGGAGGTGATGATGGAGGACAAGGGGGACAGCGTGTACCGCTGCACATACAAGCCGGTCCAGGCCGGCCTGCACAGCATCGACGTCAGCTTTGCCGGGATGTCCATTCCCAAGAGCCCCTTCACTGTGGACGTTGGACAAGGTACCGCAGGGAGAGTGTTCCTTGGGCAAGTCTGGGAGGGGGGGGGGGCGCTTCTGCCTGTTTTTTCCCCAATATCGGACTAGGTGTCTGGATCATATGGTCGCTCATAAAAAAGCATTTATTGAAAACCCCAGACGGAGGTCACTAGGGTTCTGCAGCATTTGTTCTCATTACCGATATGACAAGGGGGAAGGGAAAGTTTTGCAGACAAGTTGACCTGAGCAGACCTTTCGTACTGTTACCCAAGCTTTGATCTGTTTTTTTTTTCCCCCAGGTGCCATGCTTGCTGTATGCTTGCTCTAGGGATAAGTCAGGCTGATTGTAAAGGTTAGACCTTGCATGTTGGCTGCCTTCACTTCTTTGTGTCAAAAGCCATCGGTTTTTTCTGGGGGTACTAGTTAGATAAGGAGGGAAAGCATCAATTCTGTCTGCCAATGCCCCCCCCTTCCCCGTCCCCTACACACACTCAACCAATTTATTTGCTGTTTGTGTGCGTCCAGTCCAAACCCGAATGAGATTTTATTTTTCTTCTCTCCTTGTGCTGTGCTCTTGCACTCCTCTCATAATCCCTGCTTCCTTCCTTGGTAGACCTGTCCTCCCTCTGCCCCCATGCGCCTGTCAGCTGCGCCCTTGCCTGTAAGCAGAGGCTGGGGTAGTAGATTGGCTGTGTCTGTATTAATAACAGGAAATCCTTATATAGTACTTTTTCATCATAAAAGATCTCAGAAGTGCTTTACACATAGGAAGGGACACACCTCATTCCAGCACTGGGTGAAGTGTGTAAGACATTATTCTCCAGGGACCCCACTGTTAGTTCCCTCGCTCTGACAAACAGTGCTTTGGACCTAAGGCCTTGGTTAAATGGTATCTCCTACAGCACAGTGTTCCT